ATAGTTAAATCTACAGAGTGAAAATAAATAAAGTCGTGACCTTGTAATAGGTTATTATTATTAAAATTCCAAAGTCAACTCCACGTTAAATTAAAATTCAATAAAGACCTTTATTAGTATTTCAAAGCAAAGTTTGTAACCCCCAGGCATTATTTATATTTTGTGGGCTTTTATTCTTCATGTTGGCAGTCATTCAATTTGCAGCTGCATTTTTGTTCTACTAGCAACAAACAGCACTGTGGTATTCGCCAGAGGAGATTGAACTAGAGTAACTAAGCTCAAGAAGGCTTGTTGATTGTCATAATACTTTACGTTGGGCGTACAACCCAGTTGTATGATGCGAAGGGGACTTCATAGGTTACTGCAAACAGCATCAACACACGGAAATGGGTGTACATTGAAATATCATTCTAACTGAAGTTAGCTCCCAAGAAATGATTTAAATGTGAAGTATTGGTGTTGTAGGTAGGTATGATGATGATGATGATGATGATGATGATGATGATACATTTATATAAATACACATAGCTGTATTAGTACTTTATTTGTCTTCTTGTTTATTGAACTGTTGTATGAAATCAATATATAAAATTCAGGAAAAAAACAGCATTTGTGTGATATTACTCTCATTGCTCGTGTAATTTTGCTTAACTATGATATAAATATGAGACAAAAACTCAGGGGCATTTTTGCTCCAATATCTTGAATTTAAGGGGCATTTAATGCAGGTCTGGGGCGGGGCTGGTGTGTTAAATGACTTAACGCACACGTTTTATTTATTTTTATGAAACTAATATTTATTTAAACTAATAAAAAACTTAAATAATTCATTTAAACTAATTAATTAAATGAACACATTAAATCAACAGCCCTAATTTATACTTTTGATATATTTTATAGTTATATATTTATATTATAAGAACATAATTTGTTCCACACCTAAGATATAAGTATAAACTCGTAACTTGTGTGACTCACAGCCAATCAAATCCCCTCTAAAGATTTGTATGACACTTTATCGCCATGAAACAGCCAACTGCCACACTGAAGTGATGATTGTGTGTCTGTTTACATGATGCTGATTGCTCACACGGAAATGGTTAATTCACACTTGTGCTGTATTTAAAAATCACTCTGGATGAGTACACATTTATGTCTGCAGAGCTGATGAAGAGGTTGATGAATGATCCATTTGGAATCTAGTTTGTGTCATGAATGGAAGTACAGGCACCTGTGACAGGAAAATGACAATACAACCCCAGTTCTAAAAAAGTTGGGACATTTTGTAAAATGCTATAAAAATCAAGAGGCTTTGATTTGTTAATTCTCTTAAAAAATATATTTAATTGACAAAAGTACAAAGAAAAAAAGTTCCAATGTTTTCACTGACCAACTTAATTGTATTTTGTAAATATAAAAAAAAAATTTTATTTTGATGGCTGCAACACACTCCAAAAAAGCTGGAACAGAGGCATGTTTTAACATTCTGTAACATTAACTGTCATTTTAATTAGGATACTAATTGCTAAAGTTTTGCATGCAACATTTTTGTCCAATCTTTCTTTAATCTAGACTTCAGCTGCTCATCAGTCCATAGTAGTTATTGTTTAATTCTCATGCCGTTTGCACTGATACACCCCCATATAATTAACGTATAGCTTTCTCCTTGCCTAACAGAGATTCAAGTTGCATTTCTTAATGCAGCTGCAGACTGTGGTAAATGACAATGTTTTTCTGAAGTACTTGAGAGCACATGTGGCTATATTGAACACCGCAGCATGACTGTTTCTTATGCAATGCCATCTGAGGGCTCAAAGGCCATGCACATTCACCTTTTTGGACACGCCCCATCCGGTCGCCAACGGCCGCTGGCGCTTGTGTTGCCGGAAATCGCCAGCTCTCCATTGAAATGAATGGGATTGTGTCGCTTTGCTGTTGCGTGTCGCTTAATACATCCAAAACACACTGCTGTGAGGAGCATGTAAGATACTGCTGCTGCACATATAACATATACAAATAACCCCTTATAACATACTGTACATGATCACCCCATAGCAAATCTACACAGATGGAGCTGGGGAAGGTAGGGGGGGTTTCTTTTTACTACGAGCATTAGCCAAGTATTTGAATGTTGAGCAGTGAGCTCTTTGGCTACCCATACAGGAGAGAACCAATCAGCTGTGACGTGATAATGATGTAATTATGTCATATTGAGTTAGATGTATCGGACTGCGCCATCTAGAGTTCCAGGCCAGAAATTTGTATACTTTGTATATATATTTGTGTATATATATGACATTATTATATTACATTGGTCACCAATGGCTATAACATATACAAATAACCCCTTATAACATACTGTACATGATCACCCCATAGCAAATCTACACAGATGGAGCTGGGGAAGGTAGGGGGGGTTTCTTTTTACTACGAGCATTAGCCAAGTATTTGAATGTTGAGCAGTGAGCTCTTTGGCTACCGATACAGGAGAGAACCAATCAGCTGTGACGTGATAATGATGTAATTATGTCATATTGAGTTAGATGTATCGGACTGCGCCATCTAGAGTTCCAGGCCAGAAACTACGAGCATTAGCCAAGTATTTGAATGTTGAGCAGTGAGCTCTTTGGCTACCCATACAGGAGAGAACCAATCAGCTGTGACGTGATAATGATGTAATTATGTCATATTGAGTTAGATGTATCGGACTGCGCCATCTAGAGTTCCAGGCCAGAAATGTGTATACTTTGTATATATATTTGTGTATATATATGACATTATTATATTACATTGGTCACCAATGGCTATCTTAGATAATGCATTTCAATGTTTCATTTTTCTTTAAAAGTGGAAAGAGGCAAAAAAGAAAAAAACTCTCTCTGCAGGTGTTCATTGTTCACTCTTTAAACTCCTGTTTGACAGCAGTGCCATGGTCTAGTTTCCCAAAGAATAACATGAGGTTAACAGAGTCCACCTTTCAAGCTTTTAGTTGACCTGAAATGGTGCTGGAACAAGACTTAAAGTCCTCATCTTCTGACAGTGCTTTCACATGCAGTAATTATAATGCTTTATGTGCTAATTCTGAAACAATGCTTTTAGAGCCAACCATGAAATCAACTTCTCTAGAAACCGACTCATTAATGTTGCCCAAGAACACAATGTACTCTTGAAAGATAAAATGAACAGGTTAAACATAAAAAGGTCAACGTGATAAAAAGGTAGAATAATTTTAAAAGCTGTTTTTGGAAATGAATTGCTCAGAACGAAAAAAAAACAAAAAAACAACACATGCTCGCTTTCTCTTTCGACAATTTCCAGTCTCTTTCGAAATATTAACAACATGGACTGAAGTTTGACGTCATTAATGTAGTCTCTTGGTTACTGAGAATGTGATGAGAAGGGAAGATGGAAAAAGGGATGTGAAGTAAGAGAGAATATGGCATTTGGGAAGGAGAGAAGTAAATTGGGAAAAGGAAGATGGAAAATAGCTGTGGGGCTTCTATTTGTGCAACCCAAATTGAAGAGAGAAACTGCTTTTAAGCCAACCATGAAATCAACTTCTCTAGAAACCGACTCATTAATGTTGCCCAAGAACACAATGTACTCTTGAAAGATAAAATGAACAGGTTAAACATAAAAAGGTCAACGTGATAAAAAGGTAGAATAATTTTAAAAGCTGTTTTTGGAAATGAATTGCTCAGAACGAAAAAAAAAACAACACATGCTCGCTTTCTCTTTCGACAATTTCCAGTCTCTTTCGAAATATTAACAACATGGACTGAAGTTTGACGTCATTAATGTAGTCTCTTGGTCACTGAGAATGTGATGAGAAGGGAAGATGGAAAAAGGGATGTGAAGTAAGAGAGAATATGGCATTTGGGAAGGAGAGAAGTAAATTGGGAAAAAGAAGATGGAAAATAGCTGTGGGGCTTCTATTTGTGCAACCCAAATTGAAGAGAGAAACTGCTTTTGAGAGATGCTTAAATCCACAATCTGCCATATCCAAGTGTTTACATACATTTAGCAGAATACAGAGATGTGGGAGTAAACTGGTTTAGTTATCTGTTTAACTAAATATATATTTTTTTCAATATATTTTGACACCCATATTCCATACCTTGCGTTCTCTACAAGGCAGAAGAGTGCTCATTCAAGAAAGCTAAATCATATAAATCGAACTAATTCATGCTTCACAATGTAAAGCACACCAACGCTACATGTAATGAAACTCCCAGTTCCTTTGATATGAAAACTGAAGCGGCTAATGACTGATTGTGTGTCTGTAACTGTATAAAAATTACAGATGAGAAAAGAACTAACCAAATTTTTCAAGGTTTTTTTTTTGTTTTTGATTGGAACTTTTTTTTTTTATCCCAATTGTGAGTTATATTTCACTATTCAAATATGCCCAAATCGCCCCCCCCCCCGACTCACAAGTTTATTACTTTTGTTTATTTCATTTATTATCCATGGTGGAAACTTCTCTACAAGGCAGAAGAGTGCTCATTCAAGAAAGCTAAATCATATAAATCAAACTAATTCATGCTTCACAATGTAAAGCACACCAACGCTACATGTAATGAAACTCCCAGTTCCTTTGATATGAAAACTGAAGCGGCTAATGACTGATTGTGTGTCTGTAACTGTATAAAAATTACAGATGAGAAAAGAACTAACCAAATTTTTCAAGGTTTTTTTTGTTTTTGATTGGAACTTTTTTTTTTTTATCCCAATTGTGAGTTATATTTCACTATTCAAATATGCCCAAATCGCCCCCCCCCCGAATCACAAGTTTATTACTTTTGTTTATTTCATTTATTATCCATGGTGGAAACAAGCTTGCATGATTTATATGATGGGTTTCCTTAAACTTAGTATGGTTTACAGTGAAATATAATCAGAGAAAACAATCCTTATCATTAGCATAAATCTGCTGTTAAACAATTATTTATTTGCACGAACATGACAAAATCTCTCTTTTTTTTTCTCTGTCCGTCAAGGATGGCATGGGAAATCTCCGTGTAACCAAAGAGGGCATCAGATTAGAGGGAGTGTCGGAGTTCCTCCTTCCACTTTATGTGAAAGAGATCAAATCCAGACGGGTAAGAAGAATCTATCTAGCTATCTATCTATCTAGCTATCTATTTGTCTGTATTTACCTTTTATTACATGTTAGTAGTGGAAAGAAAGAAATAAATCCTTATGTGAAGACTTTCTTTCTTTCTTTCTTTTTAACAGCTGTTGAATAGCTGTTAAAAAAATAATTGAAAATAATGGAAAATCTGTTTGTTTAAATGCAGCATGTTTTATTTAGCATCTTTTCATCTCATTTGCATTTTGTCAAGCAATAAATTATAAAAAATTAAGGACATTTATACTTCTTTTGCACTCTCCGTCAAATGCTGGCACACCCACCATGCTGACAGGAAGTATAAATTGGCATGGTTTCAGACATCACTGGTCTGTCATCGCAGGTACCAGCTGTGATGCTGGAGTTAGTGTGCTGGGGATTCGAGCTTGAACTCTTGATATATGTGACAGGACAGAGTGTAGATCACTAAAATGAATAGAGCAAGCACACAGGCACACATTCTTTGTCAAGCACACATGCAGAGAAGTACACAGGGCCGGGCGCTTCCCCAAACTGCTGCTGTACGCATGCATCATGTTCCGGATCATTTGTATTTGGCCTCTGTTGACCTTTAGCACCCAATTGTAAACACAACGTCGTTGATCGATTTCTCACATTCTCTTTCCTTCTCTTTTTCTTTGCATCTCTCTCTCTGCAACACACTGTGGCTGTTATCACTGTGGCTATCTATCTATCTATCTATCTATCTATCTATCTATCTATCTATCTATCTATCTATCTATCTATCTATCTATCTATCTATCTATCTACCTGTTTATCTGTCTGTGTCTGTCTATCTAATGCTCTATTGTTCTATCTATCATTCTATCATTCTATTGTTGTCACATATATATATATATATATATATATATATATATCGATCGCAATATCTCTTAACATTTTAATGTGTTAAGGCAATTCATGTTTAAATCTATCTACTTATAGAGGTGTTGCAGTCTCTGCACTTCAGTCTATACTGATACACTGTGCAGAAACAATGGCAGCTAAGCCTGCTTAGGTTGCACATTAATTAATAATGATAAACCCCTTTACCACTGCTCAGATAAACTTATAAAGAAGCCTTGTCCTTGAGTCAATAAATCAAAGTGCCTAATGTGTTAGCCACAGTGATTAGCATTAAAGAACACAAACAAAGCACTGGCTTGCTGCTAGCTCGCTGATGGCACTCCTGATTAGCCTCAATAATCACCAGCGCACATCAAAGCCTGTCGAGGGGCTTTTGCTTTTACCCTCAGCACCCCACTGAGAACACATCGCCGCAAATCCCAACACACCCTCGCAGCAACACCACAGCCATTTTGGGTCGTTCGCCTCAGATGACTGTGAGGGTACAACATTGCAAATTACAATTAATCCACCTAGTGTAGAAAGCCAGAAGCTTGGGGTCGGGGGACGGGGCATGGTGGTCTTGGTCTGCGAGGAGAGCCTTGAGCTGTAAAGCTGAATCCTGCAGACAAGTTGTTTTGGCGTCTCCTACAAAAGAGGGATTGTGCCATGGCCTGGATTGACACCCTGCTTCTACGAGGCCACCAATGATGTGTGACACGGGCACTCATGAAAGAGAGATCGAAATGGAAACATATGAAAGGAAAGGTGCTAGAGAAAGATGAATAAAAATGCAGAACATGAGGGGCAGCAAGAGAAGTGACAGCATGTAGCCACCATGGTTGAAAAGTAAAAAAAAACCATGAAAGTTACAACTCTAAACCCAGCAAAAAGGAAGGGGATTTTAAAAATAGCAATACAAAAATAAAAGCGGTTTGAAGACAGCAAATAGCAACAAAATCTACATTTTATATAATGGCACTTTACTGAAAATGGGTTTGGGCTCAAATATATTCTTATCTACCAAGTAAACACACTGAAATTTTTATGACATTGCTGGGCTGACAAATAACCTGCATAAATGTTTGAATTTGAATCAGACTTCAAATAGCTGCCTGCTGCTATTCAGAAATTGTATTTTTCTTGACCCCATGTTGAGGACAAGACTGACATATTAACAATTTAAAATCTTAATGTCTTAAAGTCTTAATATCTTTATGAACTGATTATGATTTTTGAGTTATTTTCTACTCCTGGTTGGCCATGCAGTTATGAAATCACAACTGTACTTTGTCAAAACAAAAGGTTAGAAATATTTAGGCTCAATCCTAAATTGCCGACTTGAAGTCAACAAGACCCTAGCGTTTCCAGTTTGTGTCTGAAATACTGACCCTAAAGTTTTGAATGGTAGTACATCTAATCCTGCTTTATATTTAACCATGTATTTCATCACTAATAGTTTCGTTTATTTTGAAAAATCAGTTTAGTTCTAGAGCTGAAATTATTATGCTGATACATGCAAAGCTGTTTCCTTGTTTTTCACCAAGATTCAGGACAGGAAACAGGATATACGAACAGGGTAAAGCAAGATCTCTTGCCATTAGTGGTAAAGTCACAGCGACTCTGCAGTGCTTATTTAAGGATGTCTTTTCAGCATATATCCCTCTGTGCTTTGTATAAAAAGCTGAGTTAGTCAGGTTACAGTGGTAATGTCATTAGGACAAGCTAATTCATTAAAAGCCTGAAGTATGTGTGTGTTTGCATGCTTATATGTTCATGGTAACTAATAACAAAGGTCTTGTACATGTTTTATAAGTGTTCCTCTCAGGTTCTAAGCATACGTCACAATAGGCACAAAGACAAAAGTGTATTTTTGTCTCCCTACCTTCTGTCTCTTGTGAATGTTGCACAACCATTCTCTCCCATGCTCTCTTTATATGCACTATCTATCATTCCCTCTGTCTCTCCCACTCTTTCGCTATAGTACTCCCTTGTGGCCTTGTTGCTAGAATGCCTGTATTGGGAGTTGCTAAAATGAGACAAAAGTTTCCTGTTGTAGGCATTATTTCCACACTCTGTATGATGTAGGAGGAATAGGATGTTTTCTCTCATTCTCCTCCCCTTAGTAATATCTGCTTTTATTTCATCCTTAAACAAATGTTGAGACAAGATGATTGATAGATTCTCTAGGAATTGTTGAAATGATTGTAAATCCCTTCCCAGGAGTCTAAACACAATCTACATACTCATAGGGTAGAGCTGCTCACTTTTTTTGCTGATTAGGGGAGAATGAGAGAAAACTGAAAATGCAGCAAATGCACAAGAGAGAGCCAACATATCTACAAGATTCTGCATCATAAAACTAGTTTTAGAGTTTATTTAGATGTTTTGCCTGTTCATATTATATTCCTATTATTCATATTATCTGTATATGTTTTCAGTTAGAACCATATGTAGGCTTTAATCAAAACCTATTAACTATAGTTTTCACATAGCAAATATGTTTGTATAATGTATACAATTATTTTAAAACAAACTTAGATGAAAATATATTTTAACATTATTAGAAGCAGACATACAGTATAAACATAATAACATTTTATGATAGCAAAACAATCTGCCCCCCCCCCCCTTTTTTTTTTACTTTATTTTCATGTAGCTCCTGTTTGCGATGTTTTAGAAATAAATCTCTCTTCTTAGTCAGAAACTTCACCTCTACTTCAATCTCATACATGAATTATGCATGCTGGCTGCTTGAGAATTCAGTTAGACATAGAAGCATTTTTTTATTGTATATCTCACTCTGAGGGTTTAAAATATTAAAATACACATTTCAAGAAGTGAAAAATATATGCACTACCATTCAAAAGGATGGGGTCTTTAAGATAATTTCCTTCTATTCATCAATAAAAAAGTATCCCAGCTTATACTAGTTAATATTAAGCAGCAGTGTTTTCAATTGTGATATTAATGAGAATTCCTTGAGCATCACATGATCATAGATTGATATTTGAAGGATCCCGTGATACTGAATACTGGAGTAATGACGCTGAAAATTTAGCTTTGCCTTCGCACAGTCCCACAATGTGCAATTTGTATTACTAAACTTCACATTATAGTTATCAATTGTATTTATGTTTTTTAAACATGTTTTATTGGATATACTGTATATATTCTATTCCATATAATTTGTTATTCAGCTTCAGGCACATCTCTGATATTAGTGCAATATTGTGAGGAAAAGAATCGGGGTATTTTATTATATAATTGTAAATTGTGAAGACTTTTGCAAATTGAGATTGGTAAACATGTGCTCATTAACCAAACACAGTTAATTCCTGATGTTATGGAAGTTGCCATCTTTGGTAGCTCTCACTAACATGACTACAGGTGTTATTTCTGGCTGGTACGAGAACAGAAAAGTAGCTTGACGCCATAAAGAGAGTATTTAAGTCGCTCCTGTAAGATACTGAATAAACAGGACAATTCAGCTAGTAAACACAAGTCATCCATCCCAAACACTGAATGTATCTGCAATCAGAGAGCAAGGGATTCAAGCATTGGCCAGTGTGTTAGTACTAATGTTTTATTCAGGGGGGTTGAGAGTGTGGTGGAATGGCCCATGTAAAAATAGGTTCCCATTAACATTTAACAACATTTGAGGATGATAAAACATGGGGACTGTTCAGACCTTCAGGAACCAAGAATGACGGAGAAAATCAATTATTCTCTCCACGCTCTCTCTCAGATGCACAAAAACTCTCAAAAGCCTTGTGGGCACAGGTTACCTCTGCAATTACCTCTCAGCTCTTAGCAATGTCATCCCACCTCTCTTTTTAATTGGCTCGATGAACAAGTCCAACGTTGTAATGTGATTGGATAACTCTACTTGAGCTGTGATTGGTTAGACGTAACCCAGCATCTAAACACAAGGCAGATGTGTCATCAGAGAGCAGCAGGCATAACGAAGAGTGATAGTCTCTTTATTTATATTGGTGTCGCACAATCTGTTCTGTCAAAGCACATTATTATTGTTTTTGCGTACAGGAGGGGTGGGCACCGTGTTTATGAGGGCATATGATAGCAACATGATGCTATTCGACAGATGAAGAGATAACATCAACT